AAATTCCCGAATTTGGCTCACCTGCGCAGGTGAGCTCCGGCCCGGCCCCGCCCGCCGGCCCCGCCCCCAAGAAGGAGATCAGCGACATCGCGGCGGCCGCAGAGAGCCTGCAGCCCAAGGGGTACACACTGGCAACCACGCAGGTGAGCACACCTGGGTATACCTGTGATACACCTGGGCACAGCTGGGTACACCTGGGTACACCTGGGATACACCTGGGTACAGCTGGGTACACCTGAGATACACCTGGGCACACCTGGGATACACCTGGGCACACCTGGGCACACCTGAGATACACCTGGGCACACCTGGGATACACCTGGGCACACCTGGGCACTCAGAGCCTGCAGCCCAAGGGGTACACCTTGGCAACCACGCAGGTGAGCACACCTGGGCACACCTGGGGGCACCTGAGATACACCTGAGATACACCTGGGTACAGCTGGGTACACCTGAGATACACCTGGGCACACCTGGGCACACCTGGGATACACCTGATATACACCTGGGCACACCTGGGATACACCTGAGATACACCTGGGATACACCTGAGATACACCTGGGCACACCTGGGCACACCTGGGTACACCTGGGTACAGCTGGGCACTCAGAGCCTGCAGCCCAAGGGGTACACGCTGGCAACCACACAGGTGAGCACACCTGGGCACACCTGGGCACACCTGAGATACACCTGGGCACACCTGGGCACACCTGGGCACACCTGGGCACTCAGAGCCTGCAGCCCAAGGGGTACACACTGGCAACCACGCAGGTGAGATACACCTGGGTACACCTGGGCACACCTGGGCACACCTGGGCACACCTGGGCACACCTGGGCACACCTGGGCACTCAGAGCCTGCAGCCCAAAGGGTACACACTGGCAACGACGCAGGTGAGATACACCTGGGCACACCTGGGTACAGCTGGGCACAGCTGGGATACACCTGGGTACAGCTGGGCACACCTGAGATACACCTGGGCACACCTGAGATACACCTGGGCACACCTGGGCACTCAGAGCCTGCAGCCCAAAGGGTACACACTGGCAACCACGCAGGTGAGATACACCTGGGCACACCTGGGCACACCTGGGTACAGCTGGGTACAGCTGGGGTACACCTGAGATACACCTGGGCACACCTGAGATACACCTGGGCACACCTGGGGGCACCTGGGTACACCTGAGATACACCTGGGCACACCTGGGCACAGCTGGGATACACCTGGGCACACCTGGGATACACCCGGGTACACCTGGGCACTCAGAGCCTGCAGCCCAAGGGGTACACACTGGCAACGACACAGGTGAGCACACCTGGGCACACCTGGGCACACCTGGGATACACCTGGGATACACCTGGGTACAGCTGGGTACAGCTGGGATACACCTGGGCACACCTGAGATACACCTGGGTACACCTGGGGTACCTGGGGCTCACCTCGGAGTCTCCTGGGACTGACTCACCTGTGGTGGATTCACCTGGGACTCACCTGGGACTGACTCAACTGGGACTGACTCACCTGGGACTCACCTTGGGGTACCTCAGGGTACCTGTGACACACCTGGGGCTCACCTGTCTCACCTGGTCAGGTGAAGACGCCGATCCCTCACCTGCTGCGGGGCACGCTGCGCGAGTACCAGCACATCGGGCTGG